AGGGAACAATTTAACAGATTCTGCATGTGGAAAAAGGATCAAGTCTCTGCTACACACTATTTCTTAAAGATCTAGAAAATGGTCAGTGGTAAATAAACACAAAATATAATAATCATCCTAAGCTTAACCAAAACAAACTGCTTTTTCTAAAGGGAATGCTCACCGTGGAAACAAGCCTGTAGCGAGAGCTAAGCAGCTCAGTTCTGCCCTGACATGTCTTTCCCACAAGCAACCTCATTGTCTTAGAAAACTGAGCCCTGTATCTGTTACCAAATAAATGTTTAATCATACAAATAACGGGGATGCTGAAATAAAGGTTGCAATTTTCTATTACATTATATATGTATATAACTAGACACATGATAAAGAGAACCTCAGTAGATTCAGCTGGTGTAAACCTGTGTGACTCCATCTTTAGCCTGCTTTGCTGAAGAAGGAAGGCTTGTGCAGTGAAACGCCATGTGTGTGAAAGCCCTTACTAATAACTTTTCTTTCTCTCTCAAATTACACAGAAGGGATAGAAGGCTCCAAAAGGGAGAATAAGTTCCTTAAGGTCTGTGAAACTGCATAGCTGAATACAGGGAAGAAATGATCTATGTGTATCTCACCACTGTGAGGGTGGTGAGGCCCTGGCACAGGTTGCCCAGAGAAGCTGTGGCTACCTGGCAGTGTTGAAGGCCAGGTTGGACAGGGCTTGGAACAACCTGGTTTCATGCAGACAGCTGAGAGCCAGCTCTCATCCTCTGTGGGCTCACGGGAACCTCCTAGTTTTGAACTTCCTTTCTAGGGTAAATGCCTCAGTGTAAGCTTTCTGCCTACAGGAAGAAACCCAGGACAAAAAGACGCATTATAAATGCCTCAGCAGTGGTAAATTTCTCAGTTGGAGTTTGTAGCTTCTTCAAAACCTCAGTCACAAGGTACAAAGTCACAACAGATTAGGTCTCAGTACCAGCCTCCCCCCAAAAATCAAGTCAATGCAGTTATGCTTACTGAAAATGAAGTTTCTGACCCACACTAAATTGACCAGTCCAAACCCTGCTACCTGAGATGAAGACGATGGGTCAGGGAATGGGCACAAGTACAAAGAGGCTCAGAAAGGAGGTGACAGCAGTTATGGCACAGTATGGAATGGCGTGGCTGGCCTGTGCTGGAGCCAGCAACAATGCCTGGCACTGCTGGCACAGACAGGGGTTAGGTCAGAGGGTTTACATTACCTTTATGAAATGTGAAAAGGTACTAATAGGAAAAATGAGTGTTTTATCCTCTCCTGTTTTTTGTTTCATGCGGAGCACAAGGACATGAGATACGGTTATTTCCAAGCCTTTAAGAAGCTGAGAACCTAAAGTGATGCACAGGTATCTCTGCCAACTAACTTGTCCTGAAAGCAGTACCTGCGGGTGAAGGATATGTGTGTGCGTCTGGGTGAGATTATAATTAGCCACAGTGAAACAGAGCAGAGATTTTAGTCTTTTCTGAGTAGGTAGCACTACCGGAAAATGCTGGGACGACTGAGGACCGCTTAGAACTCGTTGCTCCTCAGTCTTCCAGACAGAGCCACCTCCTGGCCACAGGGTGTCATACAGATTGAGCCTCTCCATACGCTGGGGGATGCATTAGGTGGAACGAAACATGGTTTAACAAACTCGAGCATCTTGGGCCAGCTGATCAGCAGATGTCTGTCTAAAGACCTGGACCCATGCTTTTTAGCCATAACAGAGCACTCAAGGGCAGGATGCACTGAGATTCACCTCTGTCACTGCCATATATGTGTGTGCCTGTTTGAAAATCTTAGGTATGTGTTGAAACCTTTTGCATGTAAGAAGGATATGTATTACTTGCATTGCAGTTGTCAAATGAGGATCAAGGCCTCTATCCCAAAGAGAATCAGGGATCTTCAGATCTCCTGCAGTTGATCTTTCAGGCTTGTTGGAGACAGTCCCTCGTCCAACTGCAGTTAAGAGCTCAGGAAGAGCCTAAGTGTGTAACTATGAATTCAGATTTGGCTCCTGTTCTCTCTGAGCTCTCTTAATATTCTCATTCCCAAGAGTAAAAACAGTATTCTATGTTGAAGGATATAATAAGCATAAATACATCTTCTAATTATAAGGTCTAAAATTTGATCTTGTAACACTCCACTACTGAATATTTCTAAGGCAGACACAAGCTGGCAGTTTTTCTTTATGTTGCTAATAGAAGTGGCATCCTTTGCTATGTGGGTACCTGTTTTCATCACTAAGAAGAGTAAACTCTATGCACAAGACACAGTGAATGCTGATAGGTATAAGCAGGGCTTATAAGCTCAGGCAGAAAATGTGGCAATAAAAATATTTTAGTTGTCGCATGATGCCATGACATTTGTTTATGTAATCAGATAAATGAAATAATATCAACCCCTGTCCTTAACGAAGACCCACGTCACAACAAAAACAAAAGCTCATGCAAGGTTCAAACTGGCAGGCTGGTGGTTGGTGGTTGCTGTTCCAAGGTATCTCTGTGGGAAAACAGGTGACAGGAGACAACCAGAAACAGGTACAGGAGCTCAGGGATACAGCACTTCCAGGTGCTGGAGCAGAGCTGGTAAACAAGGAACTGTACACTGAAGAAAGAGTTTCCTGTTGTTCAACTGATTTCTTCTGCATTCAAGGAGCTTTTAAAATCATCAGCATTCAAAGGTACCTGACCTCTGTTTTTCATTCTCAATGGATACAATCTGTAAAGTTCCTGGTTTTAACTCAGTAACTATCAGGTCAGAGGAGGGATAGTACAAATTTGAAGCCATTTCTGTTTAAGGCTGGATTTGTGCTACTGACCTACAAGGGTGAGAATTTCTAGTCTATTATCAGTCTCCCAAGCCACACACTTGCCACCTTTTACTTCTGCTACAACCCTTCAAGATAAACTCCGGACTTGGAGACAGGGTATTTTGCACTGGGGGCCTCTTTTAACCTTTCTTTCTCACCTTCCCTTTTCTTTATGAGTAATTTTCTTGTTCAAGGAAACACTTGCATTAACTTCAACTAGGAGAGGAAGATTTAGAGCTCTTCTTATGGTGCTGTACCCCTGGCTTTTGTAAACAGTAATAGAGAGTATTTTAGAAGATAATTTAAATGCCATTGCTCCTGCAGGACAAGATGAGAATACTCCAAATCCACAAAGAAATTTTGGTTAACTGTGCACACAGATTGGTATTGAGCACTATTATACTGATTTTGTGACATGTAAATGTGGGAAATACTGTTCTTGTTGGAGAAAAAAAAAAAAGGACTGTACAAGAATATAATTGCATCTGGAGTATTTTTCACTTGCAACCCCCTGAAATTTCATTATGCAATAGCAAGTAATGGACAGTTTGTTATACAGGGAGATAGATTCATATTGTCTTGCAAGGAGAGTTAACCCCCTCGAAGACCTGGAAAGTTTCTTCTCTTTCTTCCTCAGAGGGTGGTGCCCATCAGCTCTAACAGTGTAACTCAAGAGATTCCCTCCTGACACACCTAGTGCTACCACAGGGCATGTCAATTGCAGCTGTCCTACTGTGCTGTTACTCCACTTAATGGCCCAGCACAAGAGGATCTAAAGAACTATACATTTTAGGGAAGGGCATGTGACTTTGCTCCAACCTTTTTCTGCCCTCCTTACTACATCACCTCCTGATGTGAGATCCCTGTTTTCTTTGGAAAACTCTCCTTCCACCTCTCAAAAAATCTAACATGTTGTGTCTTGATGTTCTCTAGCTGCATGGGGCAGAACTAAGTATGAGCCTACAGTCATGCAGTTAGTTTCAGGCACAAAGCACCATGACTCAGCTTCATTCTGTGAAAAGCCATGAGGAGGCAGATGTAAAGGTAGATGATTTAAAAATAAAATTAGTGCTGGGTTGTGTTAATTTTTAGCAGCTCTCAGAGATCTGGTCTAGAAATGTTGTTTTTTTCTGAACATGAAGATAAGGTTTTGGTGTATTAGGTTCCAGAAACTGAGGCTTCAAGGAGAGGCACCAAATATTGCAAGAATTTATTAACAAATCTGCTAATGTAAAGTTAGCTTTGTTACTCTCTCTCTCTCTGTCTTCTCTCAGCACTAGGCACATGAGAGAGCTTTTGGCCATCAAACTGGTGTTTTGATGGTGACTGTAGTCAGTTGGAAGAATCATAGAATGGTTTAGCTTGGAAAGGACCTAAAGATCATCCAGTTCCAATCCTCTCTCATGGGCAGGGACACCTCACACTAAACCACGTCACCCAAGGCTCTGTCCAACCTGGCCTTGAACACTCCCAAGGATAGGGCAGCCACAGCTTCTCTAGGCAACTTGAGCCAGCGCCTCACCACCCTCACAGTAAAGACCTTCTTCCTTACATCTAGCCTGAAATTCCCATGTCAAACCTAGATTAGAGGAAAACATATCCTATGCTCACTTATGATGTCTCCTATCACCTGCAGAGACTATCCACCAGTGTCAAGCTCTAGATCATCAATTCTGCTACCAATAAAGTGGCACCATTAAAGGTTCTGCCTTTAGTACACTAAGAAAACAGTGGCAGTATATGCCAGTTGAAGACAGGCATATATTATTAGTTCTCTGAAGAATGGTTTTGTTTTTTGCAATACTAATCATGCTACAGCATCTCTCACAATACTTCATAAGACCATAAATTGTGTTTTTTCATCTTATTTGTATAATGTATTAGTTCAATTGTTTAGATTTAATAGAGGGTTTTTTTTATAAGGTGGGTTATTTATTCCATATATTTAACTTCTAGGTCAGTTTGAAGGAAAAGGCTCTCCCATTACAAGTAAGGAAGCAAATAATACCTATATGAGGTATTGTGGAGATGAGCCTATCAATTAAAAAACATGTTCATAGCTCCACTGTGAATATAAATGTACCTCAGTCAGTAATGCTTCCAACACATTGACATTCATTCTGTTGTAACTAAAACAGTGGTGATGACATGTCTCATTTAGGAAACTTCACTATTGGAACAATCACTGTCTTCACTTACCTTGAGACAACCAGTGGGAGAATCAACATTTTCAACATCCTCATCAGCAACTCACCAGGAAACTGGAAATAACTGATTTCCTAGAAATACATGGGGAGATGCTTATTGTTTTGAGATAAAAACTGTTTGTCTTCAAGAGTTTTTCTAGAGCTCTGAATCAGATAACACTGCTAAAATCCACAGCTTGGGTGTAGAAGGTGGCAAAGATAGCAGGCTTTAAAAGACCATTTAAAAATTAATTAGATTACATGCTGTGCTGTAATTCAACACAGTACATTGTGCGTTCTTTTACAAAGGCAGATGAAAACGAAATGTGCCTCCTCATGAGGACAACCATTAATAGGCTGCCCTAAATAATTTCTTCATTCTGCATTTGTGTTTTCCTCAGTGTGTATGAAGCTACTGCTCAGACACAAAAGATTTTCAGACAGCAACCAGCAGTAGAACATAGAATAGGTTTAGTTTAGTTGCATTTACTAAATGCCATATTTTTAAACTGAGATTTCTATCATTTCTTGCTTGCTTGAGCAATGCTTTCAGCAATCCACACTGCTCTGTCCAGCATGTCTGATTATAGCAGAAAGAAATGCGCACCTGCAAAGAGCTTAGCTGAAGTGTGCTGGGGAGAAATCCCTGGGTGACTTTAGTAACACAGTCTGCTAATGATGGGAGAGCTCAAATTTATTAATACAAAATACCATTGGTATCATATAAACATCTGTACCTCTGATGAGGAAAAATATTCCCAGTGTTTTCTTTAGGTGTACATGTACCAAAGTAATATGAAAACCAAACAATATATTGCACTACCAGTTTTTAGCAAGTCTATATTAGACACTACATGTCTATTACATCTAGCTTAAACACCCACTATTATTATCCACGCTTGCAACATTATAATGCGTTTATGCTAGACTAGACAACTTAATGACCAGAAGCATTGCAAATGTATTGAGAATGTGTGAAAAGAACAATGTAGATTAACAAGCAGATGAAATGACATAAATTTAACAAATATCTATATAGATGCTTTTTATATCTCCAAAAGTCCACCCTGAAGTTCCACCAGTTGCTACGTCTTCAGTTACATAAGTGTGGTATTTTCTCTGTAGTGATACCCTGCCGTGCCACACTTACCTGTTGGGAAAGCCGCCTCGTCCTCAGGAAGAATCCAAGAAGACAGCCGATGGTGACTGACAACACCGAGAGAATAAGCAAACCATTTCTTTTACAAACATCCTTGATCCGAGCTAGGATTGCATCAAAAGCCACTGCCATGCTGTCCTCCGTGCTCCTTGGAGAAGAATCAGCATCCCATGGAGAGAGAATCCACTCGCTTCTCTTGTTCGGGTGGACAAGCTCTGTATAGATCAGATCAAAGCACTTCCAGTTCTGCTTAGCTGACCTGCAAGGTCACCCCTCTGCCAATAGCCACCAAGCAAGCAGCTGGCATTATTGTTCCAAATTAATACCAACAATCCTATTATCAACTACATCATTAAGAGCCTGGAAGAAGATTAGGGGGCTCTGGAAAATTAGAACAGAATGCAGTAGTATTTCTATATCAAGACTGGTTCAAAACAAAGTGACACTCCTGGGAGAGAGACAGTGTCTGAGTGCATTCCCCCATCTCCCTGGTCTGGGGTCTGGACAGCCAAACCTAGAAAGGGAGCAGTGCAAGTCCTGCGTTCCAGTGGGTAACAGGAATGTTCCAACAGTCTTTCTACAGGGCAGAGCAGGTAACATTTTGCACTGGACTATCACAACAGGGCAAGCTAGGTGAAACTGAACTTCATTCATTAAAGCAGGATTGGGGGTTTTGTTTTCACAGCAAAAGGCTGCATGAGAAGCACAAGAGACAAGCGTTGAATTGAAAATAGCTGTATACCAAAACACACAAGTACACCTTCTGGCGTCTGATATTTATTCTCTTGGAAGTGAAATGATTTCACTTTTCTTCCAACAACTATGTTGATTAGAGTAGGGCCAATTTACTTTCAGAGGATTATCAGACTAAGCCACAGGGATTGCTTTCCTTTCCTCCACTGTCTGCATTCAATCCCAACGCTGACTTTTATGCTAGTGGGTGTCTTTTAAAAATGCATCACCATTTCACCATGCCATGCTTTCTCACCAGCACATTTTGTCATTCCTGAGTTATTCTAAGATTATTCGGTGCTTTTGTGGAAAATATTCCATGCAGTACAACAGAATTGTGTGCTTAACAATATTCTGGTTTATACTATAATACAGTATTTGTTGTTAAATGCTCACGGATGAGTACAAAAGCCTACCAAAGATTAAACCGTTCTCTCTGGAGGCAGGATCTGGATACTGGATGGTCAGGAAGCCAGAGGGACACAGCAAAAACAAAAGAGTGGCATTTATATGAACCAGAGTCCTGTCACAACAAAGAGGATCACAGACTATTTTATTAATGTGAGATTTTATTAAGAGAGGACTGAATTAATGTTGATCCATCCCACACCAGACATGTTCCAGTATCCAGATAACTTTGCTAACGGATCGAATACACCTCACGAATGCAGTAACAGTTTAAATGTGCTTCATGACATCACGTCCACCTCCACGCCCGCTGTTGCTGGTGCAGCTGCGACCCTCAGCTGGGCCTTTCCCAACCCGGAGAGGGCCTGTCTGGTCCGACCTGCCCGGTCCGCGGGGCCTGCCCCGCGGCCGGCCGGGTTCCGGTGCAGAAACCCCCGTTACTACCATGCGCGGGTGCGAAGGCGCCGGGAGCTGCCCAGCTGCGGCCTCCGGCCCGCCGCGGGGCGTTGTGAGTTCACCCCGGATGAGGCCGGGCGCTCCGCCGCGCCCGCAGGGGTTCAGCGGCGTTACCGGGAGCCGGCCAGGGTCGCAGCAGCCGCTCCTCCGGCCCCGGGACGGCAGAAAGGGCGGCGGCGCGGACGGCGCCTCACGGGCCTGACCGGTGTCATGGCGGCGCGGCAGCTGGTGCCGCGGCGGGCGGCGGCATTGCGCTGGCGGCGAGGCTACAGCAGCGCGGGCGCTGCCGAGTACCTGCACCGAAGCATCGTGCCCACCATGCACTACCAAAAGAGCCTGCCCAGGTACGGCGGCCGCTGCTCTCCGCCAGGCCCCTTACCCTCCGGGACCGCCCGTCCAGCGGCCTGCCGAGGCGCCGCTGGGTGGGACACGGGGTGCGGTCCCCAGCGAGCGACCTCCGGGAGGCGAGTGGCACTGCCAGCCCCGGGCGGCTGCTGAGGCCAGGCGGCGGGACGGGCTCCGGGAAGGCGGTTGGTGGCCTTGGGCGGGAGTCCGTTGTGAAGAGGGGAGAGAAGTCTCGTCCTGGCGTGTGTGCAGAGCCGCGTTCGTGCTGCTTGCTTCTCGTATGTGCCCTTCGTAAGGTACAGCGGAGAGGAATGACTTTATGTGTTAAAGCCTAAATATGACTGTAAGCTCACTACTGAAACGTCTTTTCGGGTTGCAGAGTAACCTCTGTGAGTGCTGTAGGATTATTTTACAGTAAGAAGAGTGTTTTCGTGTTTAGGCTGAGAGGAAGGTTACAAACATACTGATGAGGGCATTTGCAGTAAAGCAGGAGGAAAGGGAAGGCGAAGACCAAATGGCAGGGGGAACTACCAAACTAACCCTTCTTTCTATATAGCTGCTTCTCTTTTGTAACGGGTTGTGTTACTGTATTCCCTGTAAAGTATCAACACCCTTCACTTCAGTACCTTTGTTACACTTCGGTTGGTTTTCTACCTTCTTTTCCAAGAACTTTATGCTGTGATGACCTATGTTCATCTATTCCCTTTCTTCTCTTCTTCCACAAGAAACTTGAGTCATTTGGATAATACAGCGCTTAAGGAAGGGTGGGAAGAGGGGAGGCAAAAAGAAATAACTGTGTAAGAAACTCGGGCTTCATTAGTACCACTGTTCATGAAGTGTGTGTCTGTTCCCCTTCCTTCAGACTGCCGGTTCCCAAACTAGAAGACACAATTAGAAGATACCTGAATGCCCAGAAACCACTTTTAAATGATGACCAATTCAGGTATGGACAAACAGGATACACATACTGCAGTGACATGTGCTGCTTCAAAACCAGGTGTTACAAATAAATGTGGCTTGTGACAGCATTCCGACTCTTTTACTGATTACTGTAGGAAAACTGAAGAACTTGCTCATCAGTTTGAAAAGGGAATTGGAAGAGAGCTGCATGAGCAACTGGTTGCTCAAGACAGTCAGAACAAGCACACTAGTTACATCACAGGTACGTTGGAGTCTGTAGATTGTAATGTTTGACAACAGCTCATAATGCTACAAACTTAAGTTCTGTACTGCATAAGTGTGGAGTAACATGCTCTGAATACTGTGACTGTATTTGAGCAAATTCTGAGTCTGTGATGGAAGGAAAAATGGTAACTTGTATGTATTAGAGTTCTTGATACATGAATACTGGAGGAGAGGTATTTTTTCATGAGTTACTGTATTTAAATTTGAGTTTATAGGTTTTTCATCAGTGTTTCAGTGATGAAACATCTATTTCTGTTTATGCTAATAGAGGAGCTTAACTTGTAATTCTCTGAAGGAGACTAAAGCAATCATTTTCAAATACTGGCAAGCTATTTAGCAAGAAGGCTGAGCTCTGAGGGGAGGAGGGTAAGAGAAAACAACTAACCTTTTGGAGGTTGAAGCGGTCAGTCCTCTGGGCTTAAACCCCTTCCTGAACTACAAAACTGTATTCTTTTAAAGAGTAGAAGAAAAGGAGTGACAGAAAGAGGAAAATGAGCATAAAAAATAACAAAAAAAGAGGGAGAGCATATAGGTGTTGTTTTTTAAATTATTTTTCCATATTATTATATCCATAAACTTCCAAATACAGGTGTCTGCTTAGGGAAGTATTGGATGGATAGCAATAGAGGTGGGGATATTCAAATACCCATGGAAGTACAACTCTGCATGTTGCCCAGCGAATGCACTTCTAACCTTGCTGTCTGTTGGGGCTGCCTGTAAGGGTGTTAGCTGCCTTAAATTCTGTAGAAAATACCAGATAATTTCGTAAAAGCTGCTGTTTTGTTTGTTGTCTTTTACTTTCCATTCACTTTGAACACCATCCAGGGCTTTAACTGGTAGCTTTATGTTAGTGCTGACCAGCATGCTGCTTTTTGTCCATGAACCGTGGGATATTTGCCTTCCTTTTTGTGTAGTTATTACTCATAGTAAAGCCTCATAAAAGACCTGTTCCACTTTGAAACTGTTTTCTGAAAGTATGTATAGTTGCCTTCGCCCTGGACTTTCAAGTCCAAGGTTAAAGGTTATGTGGTGATGACAGATGTGGGTGGTTGTAAAGCTGTAGATGAATGCTAGCTATTCCCTTGTGAGGACCTGAAATTAAAATTGTAACTTAGACACCTAAGTTCCTGTTGCCCTTCTTACAGTTCAGCTAGAAGGTTCTACCTGCAACTGATCCATGCTTGGAATAATAGTTTTTAACACATGAGCTGCCTTGAGATGAAGTTGGTGTGCACTTGCTTCCTGTGCCTGCATTCAGTGTGCAATAGCAGAGCTTGTTGAATTTGAGCTTGTTAATGATGATGAAATACAGCCTACTTTAAAAATCCTTTCTCTCCCTTTGCCCTCTGGATTTTTGTTTACTCATAGGCAGGTGTAAAGACGTGACTACTTTTTAGAGCTATGATTGATTCTGTTGGTGCTTGTAAGCACAGAACCTTTTGGGTCACAGTCATGCCTCTGAATATGCTGACAGACTAAAAGACCTGTGGGTATCAATTGTAATTCCACTTTTCAAATAATGTTCTGGGCCTGGAAGAATAACTGTGAGGTCCCCTCTAACCTTGTCTCGTTGCGAGCTTCAGAGACTGATGGTAATGCATCAGTGTCAAGAGTTCTGCCCTGTGCTCATCATTTTAGTAGATAGAAAGAGGAAGGAGGTGGAAATGCAAGAAAGCAAATGCAGGTGGAGGAATGCTGCCAGGAATGAGGGAAACACTGGATCAGAAGTAAAGGTGGTTCTAAAGAGAAGCATGCCCTCAGTGCCAGAGTAGCAGAAATTAATAGCTTGAGAGTAAGTAAAGACATGTTCCAGTCCAAATGTGAGATGTTCACCAACATACAGTGCTGGAAGCTGCGTTGTATGTCATGGGAGTTGTAGTTTATCATGGAGCCATATAGAAAACAAATTGTCCCTTGCTGGTGATGACATTTGCACTCTTGATACATACTACTCCAAATACAGTATCCTTACAATTAGCCAAACAGCGCCTTTCTTCATAATTGGAGGTTGGGAGAATCCTTGGGGGAATTACTACATGTGTCTGTTTCTGTGCACTTTAGTAGATGGGTATTCCGGATCACTGTTGGAGGCAGGATGTTGACTACATGAACCTCTGTTCGACTCAGTAAGCTGCTTTTATGTTCTGACCTATTTCTCAACTCTCCATTTTCAGGTCCCTGGTTTGACATGTACCTAAAAGCACGTGAATCTGTTGTTTTGAATTTTAATCCGTTTATGTCTTTTAATCCTGATCCAAAATCTGAATATAACGATCAGCTCATACGAGCTACGAACATGACTGTTTCTGCTATACGGTTTATGAAGACCTTCAGGGCTGGTTATCTGGAACCAGAGGTTTTTCACCTCAATCCAGAAAAAAGTGACACTCAGCTCTTCAAAAGCATTATCCGATTTGTGCCTCCTTCAGTTTCTTGGTTTGGTGCCTACATGGTCAATGCATACCCCCTAGATATGTCTCAGTACTTCAGGCTTTTCAACTCCACGCGGCTGCCTAAGCCCGACAGAGATGAGCTTTATACAGATGAAAAGGCAAAACATTTACTAGTACTGAGAAATGGAAACTTTTATATATTTGATGTTCTTGATAGAGATGGCAATATGCTGAAACCTTCAGAAATACAAGCACACTTGAAATACATCCTTAGTGACAACAGTCCAGCCCCGGCCTTCCCTCTTGGCTACCTCACCAGTGAAAACAGAGACACATGGGCATTGCTGAGAAAGAATCTACTGGATAATGGCAATGAAGAAGCTCTTCAAAAAGTAGACTCTGCTGTGTTTTGTTTAAGTTTAGATGATTTTCCTATTAAAGACTTCGTGCACTTGTCGCACACTATGTTGCATGGAGATGGTGCTAACCGCTGGTATGATAAATCTTTCACTCTCATCATAGCTAAGGATGGCACTGCAGCAGTTAATTTTGAGCATTCCTGGGGAGATGGTGTGGCTGTGCTCAGGTTCCAGAATGAGGTTTTTAAAGACAGCACCAAGGCACCAGCCGTTAGCCCCCAGTCCCAGCCTGCTTCAGTAGACTCTTCTAGAGCAGTGCGTAAACTTGACTTTAAGCTGAATGATGCCTTAAAAGCAGGAATTACCAAAGCCAAAGAGAAATTTGATGCCACTGTAGGAACATTGTCTCTTAATCTGATTCAGTTCAATGAAGGGGGCAAGGAGATTCTGAAGCAGAAGAAGGTAAGCCCAGATGCTGTTGCTCAGCTCGCCTTCCAGATGGCTTTCCTTAGACAGTATGATCAGACTGTTCCTACATACGAGTCCTGTAGTACTGCAGCTTTCAAACATGGTCGTACAGAAACTATACGTCCTGCCTCTATCCATACGAAGAAGTGTTCAGAAGCTTTTGTCAGGGAAGTATCCAAACACAGCACAGAAGAGCTTCAGAACTTGATAGTGGAGTGCTCGAAATACCATGGCCGTTTGACAAAAGAAGCTGCCATGGGTAAGTAAGAATATATCAGACACTTTTGCTTTTGCTTTAAAATGTCTGTTAAGGTTGCTGTGAACATTTACTGCACAGCTAAATAATTTTGATGGAGGTCTAATGTAAACTTGACAAAACAATATCGTCCTCTTGATGGAGAATACCTCTGTGCTGCCCACTTCACTGCCGGTGTATTGGGTATTTCTTACACTTTTTTGTCCTCAGAGCAACTGGGCTATTTAAAGATTTGATAAATACTTGGTGTGTGTTGTGCTCCCCAGGGAAACAAAGAACTTTGGCTTTATGTCTGAGGAGTTGCTCTCTTACCCCTGCAGGGAATAAAGGCTTTATCAACTCCAAATCAAATTGATTCTTTGGCTGTACTACTGGTATTTTTCTAAATGCTTTCTTTCTAACTGTGCTTCCCAGAAGCATAACTTGGTGTCTTACTTCAGTAAAATGGACTGTTTAACATTACCCCAGAGAGTCTGAAATTCATATTATTTTGATCTCACAAGATCCTCTTTAGATCCATAAAATTTAGGAAAGCCTTTCTCTGTTTTAAACAACTTGGTGTGTTCAGACAAATAGTTAATCAAAGCATGTAATATATTATTAATACTGTCTGTTAACATTGCACTTTTGTTTACCATCATGATTCCAGCTTGAGGCTAGGAGTAAACCAGCAAACCCTTATTCCCTAGGATATGTGCCTTGAAAGTGCAGACTGTCTTGGTTCTGTAAACCCCACATCTGTAGAGCTCCTCTTTTGTGGCTGAGAACCAGCATGATGTCAAAATGAGCAAGTTTATTCCTGTAAAAATTAGTCATCTCTCTAACACTTGTTATTTTATTTTAACAGGTCAGGGATTTGACCGACATCTGTTTGTGCTGCGCCATTTAGCCTTATCCAAGGGTATTGCACTGCCTGATTTTTATCAAGACCAAGCCTATGCTCGGATTAATCACAACATCATTTCTACAAGCACACTGGTTAGCCCATCTGTGCAATTAGGAGGCTTTGGTCCAGTGGTGTCTGATGGCTTTGGAGTAGGATACCAGGTACATGATGATTGGGTAGGTTGTAATGTTTCCTCTTACCCAGCTAGGAATGGTAAAGAATACCTTCAGTGTATACACAAGTCACTAGAAGATATCTTTAATGTTTTAAAGGGCAAGAAAATTGGTAGTTAAGACATAAAAACGTTGGAACACAACATTTGCAGTACAAAATGCAGCCTGTGTCTAATGGGCAAACTAATCACTATTCAGCGTGGCTGAGGCTGCCCAGCTTAATTGGCTTCATTTATCTTCACTGGACTTGAATACTGTTAGGTTCATAGGAAATTTGTATCTATTTTAAAGAAATCAAATGCAGCCTTTGAATGCGTGTTTGAGGAAATAGAACCATTCACAATGTCAAGATTAAGTAACACATCGGCTGTTCCAACAGATCCACGTGCTCTCAGAACACTTTATTTAAAATAAAAAGCATTGTTACTTGAGTTTCTGAACATGGCACACGTGTTCCATGAGTGTTCAGGAGGACTATAGTACTGTGATACCACTCTTAAACTGTTTAATAAGTAAAAAAGCAATAATTTGAAATGTGAAGGAGTGGTTGCATTGGCACTCTTGCAGTAAACTTGCTTACTAATGGTCACACTTTCTCTTTAAACTTGAATCAGAACTGATTGTGCCTCAACTGCTTGAAGCTTTTCCATTGTAGCAGTTTTTTGAGAAACAAAAAAATGAAGTGGGAAGCTTTAAGTAACCTGCAATCACCAACTGTGTTGTTAAATTGAATGGAAAAGACTATTGTAATAAAGCTATCTGTTAATAACCACAAAGTTCTTTTATTGCCAGATCAAAATTAAGACAGTATGGGTAGTCCCTTTATTGATAGCTCATGTTTCTTACAGAGGTTGAAAAGAATGCTGCTGAAAGCATTCTGTAGTGTTGGCTCTCCCCTTCCAAAGGGTCTCTCCAATGATCTGCTGTTCTTTTGCTATGTAAACCCGTGGTCCTGGGTCTTAAAAAAGAATCACTGAATTTTATCTTTTGGGATTATCTCTTTCCAAACATCCTCTTACTGTGGAAGAGTAATCTCAACAGAATGATCTCCTGTTTCCTCCTTGTTCTGTCAGCTAGAACTTTTGATGTTACTTATTGTAGTAAATGCTAGAGTCTTAGTGCCTAGAGCTACATTTTCAATTCATTTGGGCAGTCTTGTTGCAGATATTCTAAAGCCTAAGGCTTGACAGGAGAGCTTGAGCGTAGACATCAGTAAAACTTAGTGATGCTGTGAATGTGAGATGAAACAGATGCAGACAAGTTCCTCATGTGCTGTTCACAACAGGGACTCTGCCAGCTACAAAGTGGGTGATAGCAAGGGGGGAAGGGGTCTTCACCAGTCAGGAAGCCAGAGGTACACAAATTATACCCCTTTTTGTGCAAAATTCATTATGGTGTAACTTGAACTCTTCTGCCTTTTAAACCCTCTTGACTCTTCTGGGAAGATGACTCTCTGGATCTGAACAGCACAGTAACACTTGTTTCTGCAGTACTGTGTAAAACTAACACAGCTCATGCCTTTCAGCACAGCCCACTGTGTCCTGGAGAACCAAGTATATTAGCAGAACATAAAAGTCTGAGCATGTTGGTCGGATGTGACAAATCAGGTTCACTCAGAAACCCATTTGCCTTTACTTTCTTCACATACCTCAGCTTCCAGGTTCTCCAGTGTCTGCCAGTGTTTCTTTATCCCAATCAGTGTAAGCAATACTGTATCTTGGAAGTATGAACTGCAAGTGCTAGGAAGGGGAGAGGCATGCTTTAAATATTAGAAACCTGAAGTCTCATAAACTTTTCCTACTCAGGGCTTTTTGCAGCTTTTAATGTGCTGCTCATTTAAACGAAGAAAGGAAGGAGATCATTTGGGAGGATGAAGGAAATAAAGTATCAGGAAACAATAATCAGACCAAAAGTCTTTGAATTAAATTCACTAAAGGTGATTTTGGCTTTTTATTGTTGTTGTTGTGTTTGTTTGTTGTTTAAACATGAGAGCAGCTGGCAAGATTGTGAGAGTGTTTGCCAAGAAGTCAAAAGTCTGTCTTCAACTAGAAATGAGTGAGGTTTACTTAATAACATACTCAGATAGCTTGATTTTCAGAAGACTGTAACAGCTATGTGTAAATGCCAATAGCAGTTCTCAGTAAATTTACTTCAGTGTCTTGAAGTGACAGAAAGCTCCTAAAGATGTATCTTTTCCCTTCAACAGTTAACACAGTCCCTTTACTAATACTCAGCTATTTCCTTATGATAGGAGTTGGGGATTAAAAGGCCTTATTTGCTTGTATTAGACTCATATATGGGTACTTCAAAAACTAATTTGTCTTAAGTAGTTACTGTTGATAGAGTAGCTAAGTTCCAGTACACCACAACCATATATATTCCCCAAAACCATATATATTCCCCATTAGCAAAATGGCATAGTTCCGTCAAGCATATATACTATTTTCAGTTTGTACTGAGGCCGTCTTAATGTGCTCTGTGGAAAATATTTTATTGGGGCATGCTGGGGACAGGATGTACAACTTAGGTTTCCATTCCTGAAGTACAGCCATGTGAAAAGTAACTGCAAGGAAATTGCATCTCAAATGGTTAAAGCTCCCTCATCAATAAGCATGTCAGGATTTATTGGGGTATGAGCTTCAGCATTTTACAAATTTATGGGTAACTTCATAGATCCCAACAGATTCCTTTGTCTTCTCATCATAGTCATTCCAATCCTATAAGAAAGATTTCATAGTATTATTCGCAGAGAATAGAATGCAGTTGTGTCTAAAACAGAGTGAAAATCAAACTGAAACTAAACCTCACTCAAAATTTGGGTCTTAGATTTGTCAAAAGCACTGTGCAGTGACTAAACTAAGTTCTGAAACCTGAGAGAACCTGGAGCACTGACCTGAAATTAAATGAGCTTCAGTCTCAGTGGTTTTAACAATTACTTTTTTCTTTTTCATGTGTAGTCCACAGCCCTTAGTGGACATGACAGCAACCATGGCAGACGAAAGGATTATCTATCATTTACAATACCCCAGTCAGGCGGGTAAGCAGACAAGCAGATCCCTGCCAAGTAGGATACCAGGGAAGAGATTTGACCTTGAGATTCCTGCTCACAGCCAAGGAAGATTTGCAATGCCGGAGTCATTATCCTGAGCTTTGAAGGACAGTGTCTTTATATTACTTTTTTAATATCTCTGTGCACAGGAAGAAGTGCAGGCATCTTCCTACAAAAATCAGTTCATCACACTGAATAATCCCAGCCGTTCAGGTGTTTCCAATTCCAGGTATTTGCTCTCTGAAATTCCCAAGCGACTTAAAAGTTGTATTTCTACCTGTCATCTGCTCTGCTATCAAATTAGTACTTCTAAAATGACACCTTCAGTAATGCTGGTTCATAGTTGATTTAGTTTTTCTGCCCGGATATGACCTTTCTATGCCTACATGAAAGAGCAAAACTAGTCTCTTGCATGTGCAGGGTATGACTAATGACTTAGGGAAAGAAAGCTGGGTAATTAGATTTACTAATGAAACAAAGACAACATACCTTTTCTAGCAAGTTGATGTCATTGAAAGGTGTGCCAGATTCTGCACCTTCAGCAGCAAACCCTGCCTGCAGACGCATTGACAGTAAGTTAAGAACAAGTTGAACCAAGAAAATAATACATACGAGCACTGTTTAAACAAAGTAACTCAGCACAAACTTTTCTTGTATTTCTTTTAAATTAGGTAGAAAAAATGGTCAAACTCTTTCCTGTTTAAGGTTGTGATCCTGCTTGTGAATTGAGAAAATTCAATCTAAGCAACCACAGTTGAGGAACAAGCTTTCCTCCTAAAAAAGGTATTTCCAGGTATTCCAAATAATGTTAAATCTGAGTTTCTAAGCTTATATAGCAGCGTCCAGGTACTTATAGCTTTGTGTTCAGAATCTGTACACATTATGTACAAAATAGCTTCATAAGAAACTTACACTGCAAGAAAACAATAGAAAGAAAATGTGGAAGGGAGTTAATAGTTTTGCCTTAAATACTGTCAGAATCACACACTAGAGAAGGAGCAGCTTGTATTGGATTTCGGCACAAAAGTGACTAGCAAGAGGAGGATCAGCTGAATAAGTTAACAGATAAATACACCCAATCATTTCCAAGGGAAGAGTTCTTCACTGTTGTTACTGTTGCTGTTTTTAAAGGGTTGAAGGAAAGGCTAGTACTAGAAGGAAACAGCCTATCAGGGGGGTATAGCACAAGAATGAGGTGTTCTGATTTACCTTCTGTAGGAATAGCTCTCTCAGTTTAGGGTTCAGTTACCAAGCTGTAAATGAAGTTTTGTTAGTTTTAAAAGTATTTACAAATCCCAGCCACCTGTGTAGCATCCAGGAAGGTTTCTTACATTGCTATTTCTAACTGAAGGGTTTTATTCAGCAGTGGCTAAAAAGTAAAGGCAGCTTCTTCCTGGTTTTCTGCAAGGGACCTACACTTGCATTTCTGATAAAGAAATCCCCATTAGTGCCCGTCCGGCGGACATTTAACTGTGCAAGAATGTGTGAAGCAAGCCACATGATTTTTAAATATTTTGGGATTTGAATGAAAGATTAAGCACTTGGGAGTTAAAAAAATCATGGAGTGCAGCAAGACTAACAGGAGAGCTACCTGCAAGGCACAGTGTGTATGTGTCCTTTCTGTAACTGTCAGAAGCCCTTCTCAAGGGAACTGCTGTTAGAGGAAGATCATGGGACAAAAATGCAGACCTGCAGTATAGAACAAACAATAGCAAAATAAAAGAAGCCCTTCCTTTGCCACCTGGAGATACGCACCAGCCCTCCAAGGAATGAGAAGCCATGTGACTGGAATTACAGGCTTCTGTACCAGACACTCAGTGGGACTTGTATTCTTTACAGCTCTGGCGTCAGAGCAGAGACTCTAATCTCTGCAGATGGGAGCTGGGACATGCAATGGCTTGTCTGGCAAAGAACCAACAGCTAAAGCATAAACACACACACCAAAGAAGCAAAAATGCCTGTTGACTTTACCACACATTGAACTGTCGCAGTTCTGTTACCAATGAAACTATTGGTTGTGTCACAAAGCAAAGAAGCTTTAGAAGGTTTAAGAGAAATTTTATAAAGAACCCTCCATTTTTAATTGAAGCATTCACTTGAGGCACAAAGACAAGAAGGAGCTGAACTATCCTTAAGTAAAACATTATGTATCAGATATGCAGTAGATGTGTCTACCTAAGCCCATTAAACAAGAATGAGAATTGGAGGGAGAAAACTGCCCTTGCCCATTACTAGAACACACAAGTACCTAGTTTGAATTTGTTGCTGTTACTAGGTAGGAAAAGAGGTTTTATAGCAGAGAATCAAGGATACTTTTTCAGACTCAAATGATTTGAGAAAACAACTATAATTTAAATAAGAGAGGCAAGCATTGAACTGCTCTAAATTGACTTCAGGGTATGGTGCTATTATGTCTATAAAAAAACAACCCCAAAAAGTAGAGTAATGCTGTATTTTCTGGCCATATGCTATGTTTGGTACTGATCAAAAGCCAGATCCAGACTGTGGAGATGATGCCAGGCTGACTTGGATCATGTCAAATATAAAGCAGCTTACAGAATTGTTTGGAGCTGCAGAAGTCTGATATATTTACTCATTAGGGATCAGAAAATTCACTGAAATATGCACTCAGGGATTCAAGTGTCCTCTCCAACAGAGTGCACAGGCCAAACTTTGAGAATATTAAAAGCTTTGTTACATCTGTGAAATCTTTGTTCAGCACAGAAAACTCACAGCTAGGATGCAAGCTATAAGCATCTCCTATATTTTGTGATCTTCCCATAGATTTTACCTTGGAAGTGCAAGTTTCAAAGTTTGCCTGCAAAGCTTTCCACAGGAATAAACTAATAACCATTCTGTTCCTCAAAAAGATGGACTTCATTTGTATAGATAGATAAAGACAGATAGACATATAGATAAAGACTTCTTGCAGCACACTGCAGTGGGGATTTATTTATACTGAATTCATTGTAGGATCAGCTTTTCTGGTCTATTTCTTAGCACAGTGTCACAGTCTGAGGGAAGGGTAGGATAGGTTTATATTTGTCAGTCTATTTACACCTAATCCGACTGGAATAATAGGTTAAATATAGTGTGGCATTAACTTGCATCCAGCATGACCATGCATGAGCAAATGGATCACTGAAGTCTGGCGTGGCCCTGAAGAAGTCCTTCAACTCCAAGCTTGAGGTGTGCTTTGCAAGAGTCTTAACTGCCACAGATCCTCAGTCTTTGACCAAGTTTCAAATGGAAAAATGCCAATATTGATTTCCTATGGCTTTGGTGATCTCAAAGGAAGTCTGGATTTTTTAGAAGCCATATACTGAACACTGTTCACAACCTGAATTCATTTACTCCGTGTACCATACCAAGAAGCAAAGTGGCACTGTCCTGAATGTGGCATTCTAATTGTGCACTCTAGCAATTCCACTTTGGGAAAGCCTCTCTTTTGCAACAACCTGAGTAATTAAGACCTTGCAAATGAATCCATGACAGCAGTGCTGAGTCACCCCGTAAGGCAATTTGGACATGCCTCCAAAGTGTGTTTAATTTTACAGTTTACTGGCACAAAGAGTAATAGAGTTGTTAGTGTTAGCTCCTTGTGGGTTGGGTTCTGAAGACAAATGATGACAAAGAAAGAACTGTGGAGGGGATGGGAAACTGGGGAGAATGTAGGACATTCCAGGAAGAGCAGTACAATTTCAAATAGTGTGTATTTTAATACTCTAGAACCTGTAGGAATAAGAACTCACCTGTGGTTGAAAATCAACTGGTTCCAGACCTCGGCATTCAAACTCCACTATCGTTTTGAATTTCTCACTGTCTTCAGCCTGTAATTGAGTCAGAATACTGTTAGTTTTTGTCTAATGGACAGTGGCAAGCATTAGTCTGGAAATGAACTGCTTTAAAGGCAGTATTATCAACTGTGATGTCCCAAGTGACAGCAAACCCCTAGGGCTCATTTAGTAAGTGGCAATTAACTAAAATTTCTTCGTCTGCCACAAGGAAGCCTTCAGAAGGAAACTAACAGGGACACCATATGATCACCTCTCATTTGAGTGACATAATTTTACATTTTGCTTATGATAGATATCAAATTATTCTACACTTGAGCCTGTGTGCAGGCGTCTACAAGAGACAATTTTCTGTCAGGAGAAAACACCAGTTTTTTGTGTTCCTGAAAGAGGAATGTGATGACAAAGAAAACCTCAAAATATTATTAATGCTTATTTATCTTGTTATGTAAAAGAGAAAACAAACTTACATTGTAAGGCTTGATTGTCTGACTTAAAATATCTAAAAAAAAATAAAAATCAGAAGTGTAAAAGTGAGTGGCATTATGTCCTCAGCTTTATTCAGCACAAACCAAGCACCAGCTGCTGCTCGCAAACAAATTTCAGTAGACACAGTAGAAGAAACAGGGTAACCAAGCAGTTCCTGCAGTTGGCCCTCAAAAGGTGCAATTCAGTTTTTCTCACTTCTCCTGAGGAGCTGACATTACACCATTTGTAATGATTTAATGCAAAAAAAAAAAAGAAAAAGGCATGCTTTTATAAAATGACATTAGGGATATGAGTTTTGTTCGTGCAGAAACCTGAAGGCACCAGGAGGCTGTGCTGTCTCCTTCATGTGCACAATGACAAGTATGTTCGTGTCGTGAACTCAAGCACCAGTGTACCCAGAAAAAAAATCCCTGCTGAGTGCTCTTTACTAACAGCATCAAACAAAACATGGGGACTAAAAAACAAACCTAGGAGAAAAAGCATAAAATGGATGATGCCTCTTAAATTCCTAAGCACATACCGATGGAGTTCTCCCTGGAGCACAGCTTGCATTTCTGCACCATAGTGGCGCTTCCTCTGCCTCCTTTCAGGGGAGCACTGTCCTAAAGCCATGACAACAGAGACATCATTTTCAACTGCACTCTGGCAGAATCCTCTGCAAAGGTAAAGCAGCTTTTACAACAGTGGTCTTTACCTTTTTAGAAGTATTGCAATGAGAAGGCTTTATAGGCTAGACGTCTATAACTCAGAAAGCTGTGATGATCAAAGAATAGCTCTGTTCTAGACTTAAAACAGTGAATAATGTCTTGTCCAATAAAGGCATGTTGTGTTAATTCCTCAAAATACATTCTTACCATTCAGTAGTATGCAACCAAAAGGGATGATTATTCCCAAGAATATTCCTTCTTTTACCACTGACAAAATTTATCCTGCCTTTTCAATTTCCAGATGCTAATTTAGCATGCTTTAAATTGCCTTGAATTACCTCAAGTTCCCCCAGAAGTTTCCATCCACGTCAGAAATATGCTACAGGCACAACATTATTGTGGTACCAATCCAAAGCTTGTGGTATTTTTACAGAAAGGTGGCTTTTACAAAGCAGTAAATACTTTTGCCACCAACAGCTGCCATCCCAACGGCATATTTCAATTAACAATCCCCAAATACTGTTTTTAATATGGAACATGACAGCATTTCCTCAATATGTACAGCTATTAAACCACTGTATTTCATCTAAAGTGCAAGTCATGACATGCCTGATGCAGATATCCTTGTGTGCAAGAGGGAGGTTGTGTTTCTCGTTTTTGCTCTGATGCAGGTTACAACAGGCGAACGTACCATCAATCGCAGATACTGCCATTTCTCAGAAACTTCACCACAGTTCCCACATTTCAGCTGAAAAATGAATCAGATGATTTAAAGCTGTCAATAATCAGGGATTAAAAGGCTGAAGGAGATGATGTGAGCCCTCCAGATTCACAATCCCTGCTTTTTCCCAGCTGAGAGGAGCCAGAGGCAGGGATCAGTGTCTGTCTACCCCAACAGGCTTATGAGCTGACTCAACCTGGCAGGTATGCCCATTGCAGAGGGTCTACCCTTTGGTGGAAAACACAAAGGACAGCCATGAAATGAAAGACGGAGTAGCACATCTTGCCATTCACCTGGGTAACCTGCCAATGGATTACCAATGAAGGCACTGAACAACATTTAAACTTCAGACTTTCCAGTACTCAATGCCACGCATAGAATCATAGAATAGTTAGGGTTGGAAAGGGCCTTAAGATCATCAAGTTCCAACCCCCCTACCATGGGCAGGGACATCTCGCTCTAAACCAGATCACCCAAGGCCTTGTCCAACCTGGCCTTGAACACTGCCAGGGATGGAGCATTCACAACCTCCCTGGACAACCCATTCCAGTGCCTCACCACCCTAACAGGAAAGAATTTCCTCCTTATGTCCAATCTAAACTTCCCCTGTTTAAGTTTTAACCCATTATCCCTTGGTCTATCACTACAGTCCCTAAAGAATGTACTGCATCAGCAACTTGGTCTAGTAGGTGTCCCCGCCCATGGCAGGGGGTTGGAACTAGATGAGCTTTAAGGTCTCTTCCAACACAAACCCCTCTATGCTACCTATATACTTAGTCCATCCCATTCGTTGCTGCTGCAGCAGCCTGCTTGCGCTATGGGGCAACAACCACATCACTCTTTAAGCTGGGTGCTGTGATGCCACACCACAGGCCTCCACCCCATGGCCCCGCTGCACACTCCCAGCACTCCTCACACAGCGGATGGTGCCTCCCCGCTCCCGGAGGCCCGGCGCCGCCGCCCCCCGCACCTTGAGGTACCATCGGAAGTCCTCCCCCTCGGCCCGCAGCCGGGTGATGTTCTCCAGCGTGGCGCGCAACTGCAGCCCGATCCTCTGCAAGGCAAGAGGCAGGGAGAGACCCCCGTCAGCCCCAGCTCCGCTTGGTCCGGCTTGGCTCGGCCCGGCCGCGGCTCCTACCTACCCCCATGGCCTCGCAGCGAGCCCGGCACCGGGCTCACGGGGCCGCGGCACTGTGAGGACTGCCCTGACGGCTCCCCCTCAACCCCGTCCCGCTCTCGCGGGAGCACCCGCGGGTTTCGGAGCTGCTCCTGCGTGTTTTGAGTTGGTCTGGGGCTTTTTTCCCCCCCTCCACCCCGTTGCGCTTGTGCCCTCAGCCAAGCTGGCGGCCGGCTCCCGCTGCTCTCTGCCGGGCTGAAGCCGACGGGAAGCCGAAGCTGCCCTCAGTCAAGATGGCGCCCTCCGGCGCGGCCTGTTACCGGCTCCCGGAGCGGCGCCGGGCGGGCGGTACGGCTGGCTTGGGGGGTGAAGGCGGGGCTGGCATGTGGGGAGGGAGCCGTGTCTGCTACTGGGGAAAGCAAGGGAGCACTCTGGGATCTCCTACAGTGCTTTACAAACATTACCGCTTTAAAGCTTGGCCCTCCAAGTCTCTTAATTCAGCACAATAGGCCTGGATGGATGTGTTTCTAAGCAACCCAACCCTAACTATTCCACGTTTCTATAAATATGTCCCTACTCATTGTAGAAGGATTGGACTAAATGAGCTCTGAAGGTCCCTTCCAATCCAAACTATTCTATGATCCGTTAGTCTAGAACTTCACTGAATATTCATTGCTTTTAATGTCCATTTTCATTATTGCAACTTGTAAGTGAAGATCCTGGATGATGCCTGGGTGGCCTGTTGTCTTATTTCTCTGAAGGCAGATGGGTAATCATAGAATGGGTTGGTTGGAAGAAAACTTAAAGCCCATCTGGTTCCAGGGGCACCTTCCACTAGACCAGGTTGCTCCAAGCCCCATCCAGCCGGACCTTGAACACTGCCAGGAATGGGGCAGCCACGGCTTCTTTGGGCACCCTAACTTCTCTAGGCAACCTAATCATAGCAGCAGGTTGTTATAAAATTGACACGTCTTTGCTATAACCAGTTATGCACAGTCCGGGCTTCAGCTGTTTCCCATGTTTGAGCTGGCTAACAGAATATCCTCCTTGGGATAGTAACAAAAGTTTATCCTGACAGCTGGCAGAAGTTTCATTTCACAGAGCCAGGCTTAATTCCATTTTCCTACTGCTGCATAGATAAAGAAGCAAAATACAGCTTTGTCTGATGAGTGAATCAATGTATCCTGAATGCACCACGACAAAAGAAATGTTATGAACTCAGTTTCTCACCAGAACTCATAAATTAAAAATACAGACCTCACCAGTTTATTAAAACACTGACAGTTCTTAAAAAAAAAAGAAAAAAAAAAATCTAACATACATAAAAACATCAGCCAAAAAATATGAGGAACGGCATCCCTCCCTCCCACCCCCCGTACAGACACTGCGATACAAACTTCAGCTTGATTGATTTAAATTGGCTTAATCTTGAAGTGCAGTCCAATAAGACTGAAGACTAGACACTTCAGGTCCTGGACCAGGTAGTAAAACACTCGCAAGCCTTCTGGGTCCCTGCAGTGCACAACAGAAGGGATGAAGAAAATAAAAGTTAGACTGGTGTTTTAAGAGAGCAGTTTATAGAACTGATCTATTAAAAAACAAAACCCAAAACTTACAGGGAAATTTTTCATTTGAGATAGTAACAATCTGTTGCATTCTGCATCGATTGATAAATACTGTGTATTCCAAGTTTGCAAGTCTTAACAAAATGAGCATTTTTATCATGAAAGTAAGTAGCAGCATCACTTTGGATTTAAAAACCATGATAACCAGAGCCACAAAGATGATTAAGGGAGTGGAACACCTCCCTTATGAGGAGAGGCTGAAGGAGCTGGGTCTCTTCAGCTTGGAGGAGACTGAGGGGTAACCTCATCAGTGTTTACAAATATGTAACGGGTGGGTGTCAAGATGATGGAGCTAGGCTTTTCTCAGTGATATCCAGTGATAGGACAAGGGGCAGTGGGTGTAAACTGGAGCATAGAAGGTTCCATGTTAACATCAGGAAGAACTTCTTTACTGTGAGAGTGACAGAGCACTGGAACAGGTTGCCCAGGGGGGTTGTGGAGTCTCCCACACTGGGGATGAATATTCAAGACCTGCCTGGACAAGTTCCTGTGTTATGTACTCTAGGTTACCCTACTCTTGCGGGGGGGTTTGACTAGATGATCTCTTGAGGCCCCTTCCAACCCTTGGGATTCTGTGATAACCAATCTTTTCAGCTTAGGTGAAATACAGACATCTTGGGTCTCCCAGACTCCTTGGTATGGACAGACCAACAACAGTTCAGACTGAATGCATCTAACAGGGGTTCCTCCAGTGAGGTTAGCTGCTCCGTGAGTGAAAATACGGCATGCAGTGCCACCAGCTAAAAGCATTTGGTACATTATGCTGGGACACAGAGCACCTGTGATCCCAGGAACTGATTTGTACTTTGACCAATACAAAATACAAGTACCTAGTAAATCAGCAAGTTCTATTATAAACTGTTACAGGATAAGAACAGCAACATAAAAAAGCAGGGTACATACTTGGATTGATTTACATCAATGAGCGAACCGATTTTTGACGTAGTAAAGGAGATGTGCTCATCACCGATCACTATTTCAAGCTCCTAAAAATCGTAAGAATATACAGATTATAGGAATGATTATATATAAAGATTACAGCAACTACTGCTTTATGGTATTAGTTACAGAAATATGTAAGTACTGAGATGATGGCTTTTCCATTTTTATTACAAAGGTCTGGAATGCACCAGATCTGTGACTGATAAATAAGTAAAATGAAAAATAATAAATTAAAATAAATAGGGTAAATTAAATAAATCCTATTAAAACTGCTGTTTAGGCATGGCTTGGGTTTTAAAATAGCTTTTGTTTCCCTCTTGGCTAGAAACAATACTGACTTGAGGATGAAGTTCCACTATACTTCTAATGAGCCAACATGTAAAAATTAAAGCAGCAATTACTACACCACACACTGACCTGTCGACCAACTCTGTCAGGAGGAGGCCACAGAGCATCATCTTCTTTTGTGATCTCGCTATCGTCGATTATTCTCTTCAGCTCCTCCATCACGCTCTTATGCACGTAAGCCTGAAACAACATCCCAGCATGGATAAAAATCCATTAGATTAGATATAAGGAGGAAGTTCTTTAGTGTAAGGGTGTTAAGGCACTGGAACGGGTTGCCCAGGGAGGTTGTGAATACTCCATCCCTGGCAGTGTTCAAGGCCAGGCTGGATGAAGCCTTAGGTGAGATGGTTTAGTGTGAGGTGTCCCTGCCCATGGCAGGGGGGTTGGAACTGGATGATCTTAAGGTCTTTTCCAACCCTAACTATTCTATGATTCTATTATATGATTCTAAAACCAACCCAGGCACTGTCCTGGCTGCTCCACTCATGCAAACCTGGCAGCGTTCAAAGGCCAGGCTGGATGGGGCTTGGAGCAAGCTGCTCTAGTGGAAGGTGTCCCTGCCCATGGCAGGGAGTTGGAACTGGATAAGCTTGAAGGTCCCTTCAACCCAAAGTGACAGCACCACACAAGTGCCTCGCGTTGCCGATTGGCCACAAAACACCCGCTCTAGGCCCGGCCGAGGCGCGCACCCCCTCTCCCGTTCCCCACGTCTCTTCCCCGGCGGCGGCCGCCTCTCCTCACCTCCTTTCGGATCATGACATCGTTCTTGTAGTTGCTGTTGTTGGCGTAGCGCAGCTTCCCTGCCGAACACAGTGCGGACATTAATGCCCCGCCACGGCAGCGCCAGGCGGGTACCGGCCGGGCCCGGCCCAGCATCCTCCCGGCAGCGGAAAGACCTGCCCCTCCGCCCCCCTCCCTCCCTCCCGCCCGCCCGGTGCCTCCCGCCGCTCACCGTCGGGCCGGAACTCAAACTCAAGGAACTCGTGGCCGAACTTGCCCTTGTGCCCCACGTAGTACCGCAGGTAGAAATCGCTCGCCATGGTCCCGCCACCGCACCGGCATGCACCGCGCCGGCGCGCCGCAAGCGCGTCACAGCGGGCGGGGCTGTGGAACGTGTCTAGAGCGCCAACCGCCACGAGCCGGAGCGGCGCCGGGGTTGTAGTCGCCCCCTGGCGGGCGCCGGTAACAGCAGCCGTGCCCGGTTCCCTTTCCTTGTCAGCGGGCGGTGAGAGAAGGACTGGGCCTCCACCGGGACGGCCCGGGCATGGCCTGGTCTGCAGCGACACGAAGCGGTGCAGGTGAGGGCTCCATCTCACACACACACCCCTACGCTGACCCCTTTCCCCAGGGCAAAGCCTTGGCCAGGTGGCTCCATGGGTACCTGCTGCAAAGGTGTTTTCTTGTAGTTAATAGTTGCAGTGTTTGACAGGAAAAAGTGAGCGTGGTGCTTGGGTATCATCTTTCCTGTGTGGTGGTGATGGCTTGGGTACCACCGCTGAAATAGAACAGGCCAAAGTCCCCTCAGGTGTTGGTGTGTCTGTCAGGACCACACCACGCGGTCCCTGAAGGGCATGCTGTATGCTTTGCCCTGAAGCATGTGATTTCTTCTAGGTGGAAAATTATTCACTTGTTACTAATAAAAGCATTCTTGTGGTAGTAATGAACAAAAATGGGGCGCAGCTCACCTTTTATTATGAGTCCAGATGTTAACATTTAATGTTACTGCATTAGCATGTGAAGCAGCTTTGTGCCTCCCTCAGATGAAGGCAGTAACCCACCCAAGCTGTTCCTTGGCTTGGTTTTGTGCCCATGCAGCCAGTGCACCCCTGTGCTTGTTTCTCAATGGTACTGGTTGGTTTTGTTACCCTCATCAGCATGGGCCAGAAGGGTGAGAGAAAATGAGCTGGTTGTAATATCTGCCTTTCTGCTCTTTGGGGAGCTGCTGAGAGAAAGGAAATAGCTGGAGACATGCCCTGTTGTACTTGCTCCCTACCGAAACATTTGGAATAGGGTATCTCTTGTGCTGATTGCTAGAAGGGACACTTTATTGAGAGAACAGGGGAGGACACTTAGTGCTGTGGTAGTGTTGAAAATGGGTTTTACACTGATGAATTTGATTTCATTCAGGTGGTGCTGTGTCGCATCACAGGTGTAGGTGGTTAGTGCAGCGCTGATGAAGCTCACTGTGTGCTTTAGAGTTACAGCAAGGTTAAGTCTGGCAATATTTATTGCTACAGTGGAAATAGTTGAACTGCTTCCAATTCTAATGTGTCCATGGCAATAACATCGTCTTTGGTAGGGCATTGTGTAAATAATGAAATAACCCTTCTTATCTCAGGTAATTCTGCATGGAGGGAAGCCCTAGGTGTCCATGTCAGGACATAATGAGTAAGTAAACTGACTAAATCCCCTATTGATAGGTCAGATTTGGCTGCAGTTTGTTTTTCAGGAGCACTGTATGTTTTGTGATCTAGTTTCCTCTTCTGGCTATGTAGCTTTCACTAGTACAGTCAAAACGTGTTGAGCTTGGTGATTCATTTCCTTTAATATAAATCATCGCAGTGAGAGGCAAAACAGTAATTTTCTGGAAAAATAAGAATGTTTAAATGTAGGCACTTATAAATCAAGGTTAAATAGCTACTTTGGATATATTTTAGGACTTCATTCAGTTAAAATAATGGAGGGAAACAAATCATTTCTTTCTTGTTTAACTTGAAATTACTATTTGCTTGGGCCTAAAGACACTATTCACTGGGCACACACAGATAACAATTACAGACTCACTGAGAGTGAGAGAAGAAAATAAAAAGTTAGGTAGAGGGAGGTGAAATTTTAAAGCTCACCCTTGAACAGATGATCGTGGTGCCATTTACCATGTGGTAGTAGGTCAAGCTCCTTCTCTGCTGCCTGTGTTAGACAGCTTTTCTTACATTCTGTTCCCATGGGAATTGACAATGCTTAGTAGTCCGGAGAAATCTATTTATGAATAAAGATTGAGAACTAAATATGTCCAACTCAGCTAAATGATGGAGTAGAGCATTTAAGACTAATAATATGGCAGTACTCACTGCATTTGTGTTGCTTGAATCTACGCAGTTGCATTCCACATTCTTTATGAATTTCTATTCTGTAAAATACCTGTACGTTGACTTTTCAGTAGGAGGGTCCTACTGGTACAGAAATAGCTAACCAATTGCTTTCTTAACATTTACACGTAGTGCAAATAAATTAAAACATGAGCCTAAAACCCATAATGTTTATATCAGAATGAAGGATTTTTAGCGGAACTATTACCCTGTTTATTATATGAACTTGGTTGTTCAATCTAAAGGTAATACAGAGTATAAGTTTGCATGTTCCTCTTAAGTACTGTCTGGTTTGACTTCAGGTTCAGAGTTTGTGGGCTTTTTTCTGTGAGAGAATGACTATTATAATTATCTAAATTGTTTTAGAAGCCCTTTCAGTGCTTAATGCATTGTTGTTTCAATTACTGTGTTGGAAGGAAGAGCAAAGTGGATTATGAGTTACCCTGAAAGCCTGCATCTAGGAGGTGTCAACCGTTTTTGAGTTCTGTATACTAATTCTAACATGTTTTATGGTGAATGCATATTATGGGTAGATAAAAATGTTTTTTTACTTTGTGTGCATTAGGTTTTTTTGTCCTCTTAAAAGAAACGTCATGTTTGATAGCATTACAATGGGTAGTGTATTGCTTCCACAGTGCTGTTTGGGTTATCTTGACACATGTGTATTCAAACGGCATGCCACGCTTGAATGCATTGGCTTGAGGCTGTATTTGTGAAAGACAGAAAAGTGTGGGTTGTAGTTATTTTCCTTCTGCTTAAAAGCATATAGAAACAGTAATTGCTCTGTCTCTGAAGAAAATAGCTGTATAAATACACATTTTTAGCATTATTATTTCAGATATGATAGGACTATAACATAACAATGTGCATATCAAAACCGGATACTGATACTGCTTTATACAGTTTTTTACTTCTTGTTCTAAGAAGAGCAAAATTCACATTATTTTGTCTTATGACCTGTGGGGAGCAGGTATCTATGGGACTTGGCAAAATGGTAGAAATCAGATAACCATACTCTGAATATCCCTATTTGTTGTTTGTTAGTAAAAGCTGGCAGAAAGCTCTTAATAAATCAACCTACTTTGGATCCCTAATTTAACTTAGCTCTAAGGTTGCAAGATTTAGGAATTGTTTGTATTTTTCTGAAAAAGCTGCATCTGGTGTTGCAATAGTTGTATTTCTGCTGGTTGCTTCACAAGAAACATTGAACACCTTGGAGAGCTGGGTGACAGAAGTGTTTTCATAGATCCCAAGTAAGTCAGGTTCTTTTCTGATACTTTCCATGTCTGTAACTGTGTTCCAAATACACAGAACTTTATGCAACTGTTTTTCCTTGTATCTACAGAGGCTTTAATTCTTGCTGATTCCCTTATCAAATAAACGACTTTTGCAGACTAAATTAAGACAATATAATATTTGAAAGTTAATAAATTCATAAAATGTTTCTTTAAAATGTATTTGATAGCATTTAATGCGTTCCATGCTGCGGATCTTGACTTTGCATGTAGATCACTGTTACACCTGTGTGACTTCTTTAACTGCTGGGAAGAGCAATTCTAGTTTTGCAGACTGTTGATTCCTATGTCTCTGCATTGTGTGAAAAGTAATTAGTAGGCACATATAGCTGAGTCAGCAGTCTGTTGTGGCTGTTAGAAACAAATCAACAGTGGGTTTCTATGTTCAGACCATATGCTATTTAGAAAAGACATTCCGGTTTGTACCTTGATTTTGCGATATGGATAACTTTCAGCTACCTCGTTAAAAAATACAGCTCTGGAGGAAGTAACGTCTGCTGTTTTGGTGTCAGGTAAAATAACTTTATTACTCTCTGAGGTGAGGTTTTCCCTGCTGTTGCCAGCTCTTGACTGAAAGACATTCTTTGCCAAGGCACATCTTAGCTTACAAGACAATACTGGCTGAAGATGACTAAGTAAATAAAAATGTGGTGGACTGACATCTGTATTAGAAGAAAAGAGTCTTAAGCCCAGCATAGACGCAGATGAGTGAGTGAGAGTCTGAAATGGAGAAAGATTAATGGAAATTAATAGCAAACAGGACTGGAAGGGACCGTCATAGTTGCCATATTCATCTCCTGCATTCAAACAAGATCAGCTCTCATGTGAATCTTTTTGTGGATTTTAATAAAGCGTTTGACTTGGATTGGTTTTAATTTGCTGCTTTTTCTAGATTTTTCTTTTTTCGTGGCAAATGCAAGTTTTTAATGTAATTTACTTTCTCATTTGAAAAGTCAGCCCACATATGAGTCTGTTTGGCTCTAACCTGGTTGGTTTGGCAATGCTAGAAGCTGGTGTATAGACTGGTGCGTTAGAACTGCTTACAGAGTAACATGGGGGTGCTGCAGGTGAATCCACCTTGTTGTGGTTTATTTCCACAAATAATTTAAGAAAATAAGTATTACTTATATTTTTTTTTTTTTTTTTCCCACGGTAAAGCTGTGGCTTCAATTTGCTCTTATTTAAAAATAGATGTGTGTTAATTCTCACTTCAAATAACAGAGATTTCTAAGGGCTGACATGGGGAAGCTTGTCTCCAGTGTTTTTTTCTGAGATGCAGAAAGAATCTGGCACATCTTGACTGAAGCTAGCCTTTGTGAGTTGTCCTCTAGTTAGTTCCACCAAAATGGTGCTATGAAATAAGAAGGAGGTATCTTATATCACTGTATGTTTCAAGCTCTTCATTTAGAAGTTCACCAAGTGCTGTAATCTATGAATGTATTTCTGTGGAAGCTGATTTTGATTAAACAAATGCGCCAAACTGGTTGAAGGAAGCTCAAGTGGTAGGGGGCAAAGGTATTTATCTAACCTTTAGCCAATGACCTTTCCATAGGGGTGGGTTATGTCCACAATAGTTTTGTGTGTTTGTGGAAATAATCAAAGGAGCGGTCAGTGTTTTACCTCTTTAACTGGAACATCCAGGTTCTGGTCCATGTCACTTCAAAGGACATCTTAGTTGTGTTGAACTGCTCAAGATGATGATTCAGACCTGGGCTACTCTTGCTTGC